CTTATCAACTGACTCCCTGGTCAGGCTTTGATGGGTGCTAGATGAGAGTGAGCACAAGGGGCGAAGGCGCGCTTGTGTCTCATCTCAACAACAAAACAAAAACAAGAAACAAGCAGCAAAAACACAGCAGGTTCCGAGGGTCTCCGGAGTAATGGCCCGAGTACCGGAATTTCGGGGTTCGGAACAATAAAACAACTACAGTCTCGCCTGCCAAATTATCTCCGCTACAACTCTGTGCTCATGTTCTCTGCTGAGTACCATCTCTTCTTTCTGTATTATGTCTACGGAAGGCTAGTTGCCGCAGTCGCACCTATGGTAAACTGTGCCTGACTAGGTTGTAACAGTTTTCCTCGACACCTCTTTTCCCTCATTAATTTGCTTGCAATTACGACATGTCATTTCATGCGTTGTTTGTGGAACAACTCCCCCCCCCCCCCCCCCCCCCCNCCCCCCCCTGAAATACTGCCTCTATTTTTTTGTTTGTCTCTTCTGCGTTCGACCAGCGTAATATATCTGCTGTTGCCGCTGATGTTTGTAGTCTAGACTCCTGGATGCAGCTGATATTTGTTGACTCACCGTTGCCCTACTTTGCGTCACACCCGTTGTGCACATCATGTACATGACAAACGCAACAGATACTACACCTACCTGGCCATGAGGCGAAGCAAGGCCTGCGGACGGGCGTTCACCGCGCAGGTAAATTGGCCTCGGCGTCTGAAGAAAAAGTGATGTCACCCCGAAAGAAAGTGTTTCACCTGTCATTGTTGTGAGATGAAACTGTCGCCCGGTGGAAGGCTTTTTGCCACTTAGGGGATTGCAACTGTAACCGTATTGTTTCCCTGACGTCGTAATCTTCTCGCGTCACATGCATGTAGAGGCATCCCACTGTTCAATTCGATTCGTATCAATTGTTCGGAGCCGTCCTGGAGATTAAAACGACCACCCGCCCTCCTTATCTCGCATCAGTTCCGCGCGAAAATTATTGCACGCTTGGTTCGAGCAAGCCCCTTGCTATCGATCGGACTTGTGTCCACACTCTTCGTCCGGAGCCTCTTCGCGATTCTCTTGCAAAGCAGTAAGAGAATGTTGGCCTTGCCGTTTCGTTGCCCGGCATTCAGCCATACACGCAGCATCACGGCGTGATTATTCGCTACCCACGTGCCGCGGAACGTAAGCCAGAAAAAGGTTGGGTGTGGACGATTTTTTCGTCGTGTGTCTGCACCTCTTTCTAGTTTCATCAGTTGCTCTCCACCGCTTTCCGATATCTCGTTTACATCCCGCAGTCAGCCATGGATCGATTTTGGTCAGGTCAACCGTACGTCACCAGCCCCGCTCCACTACCGTTTGGTATCATTCTCTCTCGCGCGCGTGTTTACTGTGCTTTGAGCCCTGCGACGTGAACCCCGTAATTTTCACGACCTTCAATTCGCCCACCCCTGCCTCCCCCCATTCAAGAGTACGGACCACGACAATGCGAAGCCTCCTTCCCTCTCTCTTCTTTCCGCTGCACGACGTACGATTTGTTCAGCCGTACGGCATCAACACCCCGGGAGCGTTCGCCTTCGTGTTCAACATCATCTACCCCGTATACTTCTCTGGAACAGGCACCCCCACCGAAAAGTGAGCTGATTAACCAGAAGTACCATAATTCCGTGTGTTCCCATCCAGCCTGTATGACATATCTCTCCTACAGCCACTCCGGACGGCCAATCACAGATATGGCGCGCTCTCCCTGAGCCCCTCCTCGCCTAGCCCTCCTGACCGGGGCCAGTCACTTTCTAGCAGAAAGTTGCTCTCGTCCACAGAAAAACGAAGAAAAACGGGCTTGACGCTTGGTTTTCATGGACGAGAGAAAAAAAGAAGACGCATTACTTCAGTTGATAAACACTGTGCGCATATGCCCTCGTGTGACGCTTTTTTGCCTAAGAACGTTGGTTATCGTACGAAGAACGAAGTAGCTCATTGTGGTGGTTTCGTGGAATTTGTTTTTTTGTCAGATGATTGTAGCGCGTGCTGAACACGCCACCTTCGTGATCTCCGTCGGGGACATGGAAAAAATCTCGTTTCTTAGAAGGACTACTGTACACAGAAAAATTACCCGTTCGAGATAATACCACAGTCGAAGGAGGGGTGTCGAAGTCTTTGCAGTGAGTAGGAAAGAAAAGGCTGGATTCTGGGCTCCATGCGAAGTTTGGTGAGAAGAGGGAATATCGTCCTCTAGACGGACGTTTGGGTGATAAGGACTTCTTGAAGGCCATCTCCACATTTTCGTGTGCATCTTTCTGTCGGTTTTTTCGTTTCGACGATGTTTTTTTGTTGAGCCTGACAGATTTGTTTTTTGCGCCCTTTCTTTCGCCTTCCGTGGAAAACAGCTTCATCAAGGCGTACAACGTGGCCCTCGCCGCTAACTTCATCTCCGGAATAATCTCGGTTGTGATGGGAGCCTTCGGCCCGCAGATGCTGAGAATCGTTCCGCCCGCGGCCCTTCTGGTGCCTGTCGCCGGTAAAAACCTCACACTAGCACTTACCATATGTTTTTCGTTTCCATCATCCCATCGCGGTCCAATTAGTACAGAGAGTTTCACTTGCATTGTAGCTGGCCCAGGCCGAAAGAAAGGGTTTGGGGTAAGTTACCTTGTACGGTCGTGATTTGGTGGGCGTGGTCATGAGTGGGCAACAAGCGGTTGCTTCCTCGGCTACTGCTGTGCCTACCTATGGGTGATACATGGCCCACGGAAACCTCAAAGAAATTGTTGTTGTTGTTTTCATCTTGCCAGGCATCGGTTTCGCTTTCCTTGGCCTCGAGCAGGCTACCACTCCCTTCGGCGCCCCCCTCGTCGGATTCCTGGTGAGTGAGCGGGAAAACGCTTGTGGTAGTTAATTTTTCGTGTTGCGTTTTCTTTCATCGGTAGTTCTCGTCATTGTCATTGGTGTTATTCTTATCTGTTTATTGCTGAAACTATGTATCGACGTGCTGAGCGTCGCTTCTTCGCGCAGTCCCCTTCGCCGTTCCCCCTCCGTTTCTACAACTGTCTGCTCGCTTTCCCACGCTTGTACTTGTGTATCTTTACCTTGCTGTTCGTGTGTTGATTACTCTGCGTAGACCATCACCACGCTCTTCCTTGGGTGGTACGCGAACGTGCGCATCGGCTGGGGGAACTACAGGTGCCCGGAGGCCCTTCAGGTAGGCCGATGAGCGCATTCGAAGAGTGAGAGTGCGAATTGTCGACGTGCGACCTGGTACGGGGGGGGCATTCGCGTTTTCGAGTCAAGCGGCAAGGGACCACCACAACTTCGTTGACCCACACGCTCACATCCTTTCTATGAAGAGGGAAGGGGAGTCCGGCGGTAAGTATCAACAGAGATACGAGAACAACGGCAGGCCAATGAACAGACACGGAAGCAGCTGCAGCAGCAACCACAACAGCCACGACTACCACAACAAGTTGCACTTGTAGCGTAGTCACCCACATACTCACGCACCCGTCAGTTGTGGAGGCTGGGTGGACAGGATTTATAAACAGTTTCGCGGCTTAGGTTCTCTGTGGGTTTACCCAACAACGACCATATATATTGTATGTGTGGGATTGAGGTGCTGTGAGTGCACATTCTTATGGCCAAATACGTGTACATGTGTCAGAAGTATTCACCAACCTCTCCGCGCCCCCAGCCCCATGCCCCCCTCAACCAGTGTGGTATATGTTAGCCTGATATATTCACGTTATTCTCAGGCTGTTGAATGGCAGTGCGTGCTGTAGGTGACAAGAACAAGAAGAATAGACAATCGTTTGCACCAGCGGAGATCTTGATCTTGTCGTGTAGAAGCCCCATCTCCAAAACCAAACGCCAACGGGAAAAATCTGTTGATTTTAACGGGCCCCTTCTGTGCAGGTGATCATCGTGGGTGTCATCCTGGGGTGGGCCACCGGCTTGAACGAGTCGGAGGACGTCGACGCCGCCGCCGACCTGGTCAAGTGGTGAGTGAGAAACGGGGCACACCATGGTACCACGACAGGTGTACCGTAGGTCGCGCATGATACTGTTCTGTGCTTGTGAAGCGATGAGTGAGAGGTACACCGATTGCCCTAGAGTCAATGGTGGCAAAAGTGAGGGTACCGCAGGTCACAGTTCGATGCGCTGAGGACCTTCACAAAAAGCGAAAGGAAAGAGGATGACAGACGGGGTCCATTGCTGGAACAATTCCATAGCGACTAAATGTACCAATTAGCTTGTCCGACGCAAAATGGTGTGAAATTGGCGCTTTAGGTGGTCAGGAAGGTGGTTTTAGGAGAATTCGGAGAATCTGGAGATTCGGATGACCCTCCGAACATGGTGGCCAAAAAACTTGTAGGGATGTGATCCAGCAACGGGACCATTGTCAGAGAGCGTGGTTAGGTGGGGATGAGCAACACGAAAGCCAGCCATCATCCTAACATGTCAGAGTGGAACCTCCGTGAACCGTTGTACCGTACCGATTACGAAATAAGAAGTGTGAAGTCTGCCCACAAGTAGCAAAGGTGTCAGAACTTTCCTGGAAACTTCTGGTTCCTTCTGTAAGCTTCTGGAAGCGTTCTAGATCTAGGTTGCAGTTGATACTCTTCTAGAACGTAGGAGGGCTCCCAGAAATCATTCTGGAAGCATTCTGGATCTTTCGTGTGATTGGCTTATTTGTCTGGTATTCGAGAAGAAGAGTGGTGCAGCCCTAAGCTCGCCCACCACTCTCACTCCTCTTCAGTACCAGCAACATCTGACTCGGGAGTCAGCGATTAATAAAAACATCTTCATATTTCTAAACCGAAGTGCTGTACCACCACGTTGCGATACGGGTGCTTGATGGTCCTACAAGCGTGGTGTGGACAAGTGGGGTGCTTCGATGTGTTTAACAATGTACCGGACACTGATATGGTAAAATCTGCACGCACGTCTTAAACGTGTACCCGGTGTTACTATTCCCACATGTTTCGAATGACCGCTAGTCCAACATCCTCCCGCAGTGGACGACATACCACAAGAACGGAACACATGCCATAGTTCAACGCGTGTTGCTGGTGTAAAAATATAACGCACCACACTACGTAAAGAACGCCTTAGTCCCCTGGTCTTCGCTTCTTGTTTCCTCTGTTGGGTAGTCCAACAGCGACTATATTGATTCAAGTAGGATTCATAGCCGAACACCTGTCCGTTTGGCCAACTTCTTTCAAGTCTAATTTTTTTAGCATGAATCAAGTCCCAGATTCTTTACTGGTGTCGAATACAATCCCCATATTTTTTTGAGTTCGTTTTGATTTCATTTTCTGTATTGTACCGGGGAGAGCCGAAAATAAGACCAAAACCTACGTTCATTTACAAACCACGGAGTTTGCCAAGAACGAACGAATACATGGATGGATGATTGAAATGGGCTCCTTCTGCGCTTGATGTGCGTGTTCCCGAGGCAGGTACGGACCGACTTGGACTGGTGATGACATGCTCGAGAATTTCGGCGACACCAAGGACTACCTGGGCATCGTGTTCCCCATCGCCATATCGGCCGTCGGAACTTCGCTCATGGCTCTCGTCAGCGCCAAGGCTGCAGGTAGAAAATCGATGGCCAACCCAAACGTGCATGGGACTGCACCACTGGTACAGTAGCGGGAGGCCAGGCGGAATGAGAACGACCGTAACAGGAACACTCCTGTTCCCCGTAAACCGACCCAACAACCCAGGACCACCATATCGTCATGTCGTTGTCACCACACTCACCAACACCCAAAGCCCCTCTGGGTTTAGGCCGACTTCATCTGAACCTCAACCTGAGACGAAACGAAGGTCGTGCCTGGGCACGGTCGCGGTCGTAAGCTTTTGAAATAGCTCTTGGTGGGTGAATACTAATATTCACAGCCCCCCAGCTGCTGACACGTCTAGCCGCAAGCTTTGTGTTCTCTTAAGCGGGAAATGCAAAAGGGAACACTTTTTTTTCGCAGTCTCGAATTCCTCGCTTCCTACCCCATCTTAGAACCACGCACCTTCAGTTTTTCGTGGAAGCTTCCGCCAAGATTTGGAACGGTGTGTAGATCACCAGGTTTTCAACCCCTCCCTTCCTGGTTTATGGTTCCAACGAACCACGGCGTGCATGAACATGGTTTCACCCCGTTGCTACCCACGATTTGGTGACCCCCTCCCCCCTCCCCCAAATCGTGACATCCCTCGACACAGGTGATGCGTACCCCGTGACCGAGAGCATGGTTGCCGACGGTGTCGGCACCATGGTCACCTCGCTGTTCGGGTCCCCCTTTGGCACTGTCATGTACTTCGGACACCCGGCCTACAAGAAGTCGGGCGCCAAGACCGGATACAGGTGGTGATGCGGTGCTGTATTTTCTACACTTGCTCTCTTCTTCTGTTGTTGTTTTTACTGCTGTTGGTGGTGTTATTGGTGTTTGTGCTTGTGCTTGTGTTTGTGTCCGGTTCTGAAGGCTGTTGTACTTCATGCCACGCGAATTTGGTGGTTGTGGTGGTGTTTGTTGTCGAAGCCGGCCGTACGTCATTTCGAGACTTCGTCGATTATATGCCGCAAAGAGACGGTAGGTTCTCGGCGGTGGGTGATCGGAGAGCTACCCGAGGTATAGTTACAGCCAGGGCATCTGAGCAGGATCTTCCGGAGGATAGTCCAGTGGACCAAAGACACAAAAATCCTCGTCGTCGTCAAACGCTCACTAACCATATCCCGATTCATACCTTCTCCGTGTGTCTGCATATGTCTCCCTCGTCTGTCTCGTCAATCTCTTTCTCCCTCTCCCCCGCTGCCCCGTTATCGTTTTGCCGCTCTCTCCCTCCCTCTGTCTGTCCGTCTGTCTCTGTCTGTCTGCACCCCCTCCTTCTCTCCTCCTCTCGCTTTCCGTCTGTGTCTGTCTCTATGTCTGTCTCTATCTCCCTCTCGCTCCCACAACCTCGTGGCAACAACAACACCCACGCCGACACGATCACCCCGATACAACAGCCTTATCAACGGCTTGCTCTACCTCTTCCTGTCATGGTTCGGCCTCGTCGCCCTCATCCGCTCCATCGTCAACCAGCCCACCATTGGGCCCATTGTACTGTTCGTGGGACTGATGCTTCTGGAGGAGTGCTTCCGCTTCTTACCCGCCAGGCACTACGCAGCTGTGCTCTTCGGGCTCTTTCCTTCCATCGCTGGTGAGTGCCACTGGGAAAGGATGTGTTGTTGCAGCCCTCCTGGTGCGCTCCTTGGGTACTGTTGCTATTAAGGCCTGACGGCCACCTTGGGTGGAAAACCACATAATAGCGATCACGACACGGAGGGCGAATACGAACAATGCTGATGTGAAGACGAGCAACAACGATTGCGGGCGGCCGGCCGGAAAAAAAGCTACTGTAAGTGAACGTATTGTCACGACGTTGGGTACGAAGTCGAAAGCGTGTCTGATGACGAATCAAGGTGAAACGAGGAACTTTATATCGCGGCCGATTTAGTTTTTGTTTGTCCCCCGGATTTTCATGTGAAACCTCTCCGCTGTACAGACCTGACAATTATTTCCGAGTCCGGTCTCAGGACAGCAATTCTTCGATGCTAAGAGCCATCCTCTTAATACTGCTTGTGCCTCGCCCCCGATCTTACGCCCAGACTGGGTGACCAACATCGCCGCTCGCGGACCTCTGGCCGGCGTCGCCGAGGACGGGACCGACTACAACACCAACCTGCCCGACCTCACCGACGGGTGGTGGTGAGCAAGACACGAGCAACGTTCGTGTTCTTCAAGACGAAGAACGTGCCTTGTTTTTGCTGTTGCAAGAGGGGAAAAAAAACGCTGCCTCTTTGCTAGTTAGAGAGACGCTCCGTTTGGGTGCATCATCGAGTTGTCGCCCGATGCGCACAGCACAGCGCATGTAAACAAATGACAGCGGAGCGAAAGCGGCAAGGGATTTAGAGAACCTACGCTGTTTGTGGCCAGAGGGCTGTAAAACACCAACACCTCGCCGAGCTCTTTGTGAGACGTGGTGGCTTCTGAATCCTTTGGTCGTTCCTTCCGCAAGTCTAGGATATGATATGAAAGGAAAGTGATAAGTAGTCATCGCTCTTGGGTCGCACCCTCGACGCCAGAACAACTTCTAAAGTAAACTCAGCAGCAGTAACAGCAGCAGCAGCAGCAGCAGCATTCAACACCGGCACCGACAACAACAGCCAACTGCACTGACAGCAACCACCCGTAGCTTCAACAACAGTTATTTGGCACGCCTTGTGCGTACCCTTTGCCTGAACTACTCGCAGGGGCATCCTCGGTCTCAAGCGTGGGGCTATTCTGGTGTCTCTCTGCTGGGTTGCCATGCTCGTACACATCATCGACCGCAAGTGGTGGCAGGCGTCGGTCTGGGCGGTCATATCGGCCTGCTTCACAGCAGTCGGCATCATTCACGTGCCGGTGAGCCCCGCGGCCTATGAAGAACATAGTCCACGAAACATTTGTTGTTATTCTTCTTGTACCGAAAATAGTATGGTCACTCTCCCCTCTACTCAGTACGTTGTCGTCCGAACATATCCATACTGTACTGAAACAAGCGTCCGTGATTTCCGTGCCAAGTTACAAGCCAGCACACGTTCAACCTTGAAGCCGCCAGTCATGGCAAAATCATGATTTGCAAGAAGGTCGGCGTCTGCCATTAACAACAATTGGATGAGCTCGACGACCACCGTCACACGTGATGGTCTACGATATTTTTCCAAACCGTCCCACGGGATGCGATAGGTTTATGTACGCCCCCCCCCCCCCCCCCCCCCCCCCCCCCCCCCCCCCC